TATATATATATATATATATATATATATATATATATATATATATATATATATATATATACATACACACAAACATATATTCAGCTCGGTTGGTTACCATGAGTAATGTAAATAACTACGGTTAATTTCAATTAACACACATTGATTGGTCAATCATCTTACTGCGCTTTTCGATTAAATTTGCTTATATCAATTGTCAATTTAATAACGCTTATTTACATTGACTATGTTTAATCGTTAATCGAATAATCTTTAATTACTTTCGCTCGTTTTAATCATTAATTCAACAGTTTTTAATTGAATTCCTTCAAATCAATCGTTAATTGAATGATTTTTAATTAGATTTCTTGAAGTCAGTGGTTAATTAAAATATTTTTAATTGAATAGACTTATATTAATCGTCAATTAAATTAGATAATTAATTCAAAAAATAATTATTCGCAATTCTACTCTGTATAAAGAGTCACAGCCGCTATTGTGTGCCGGTTGTTATGATCCGCGCGATAATAGACAGTAGGCTCGCAAAAACGCCGCGACAAATCGCATATAACAGACGGGCAAACCAGCGCCAGCGATCAGATAGAATCTTCCAGAAGATTTCTAGTAGATAGAATTTTCGACAAAAAAAAAGATTCTTAATAAAAATTCTCGAGAATTTTATCATGTCGTCGAGTTGTTTCGAATTCGAAACAGATTTTAACATTAATAAGTTATAATTCAATTGTAACTTAACTTTAATCAAGATAGTTTTTACTTATATAACTTTTAATTTAACTATGTTTTTATAAGCCATTAATTTTAAACTGAACTTAATTAAAAATACATTTTAACTTACCCAATTCTGCATAAAGTTATAATGACGCAAAAATATAATCATTACATTTTACTTAAAAAATTCGAAATCACTTATTGCACAACACAAAGTGCACAACCCAACACAAAATACAAAAAGGTCATCGACATGTCATGTGTAATTTTATAAAACTTTGCACGCGCGCGTGTTGTGCTTCTTTGCCGCAGAGCATCTGTCAAGATGCCGAAGAGCTCGGCTCCACCGGTGGTAGATAACGTGATGAGTGAAGCCTGTCGTGCGATAGCAGTCGGGGACTCCTATCGCATTAATTTTGAGAAGGATCAGTTCTGGGACTGCGGAGTCGTCGATTGTTCCGCGGACGGCGACCAATCGTACTGCCTGGATTTAAGATTCCCGATGATCTCCGGACTACGATTGAAGGACGACTACAGGGTGACGCTGCGATGTAAGACCCAAGATAGAATCGCGTATCACACGAAGCGGATCAACGTGAAAACCTTGGAAGCGTAAGGCGTGCGCGCGAAGCGTCGTCGTTTGTCTTTGGACAGGATGGCAAAAATAAGCTTCGCAAGTAACTCTTTCAGGAAGGCGAGGAACGTACCGAGCGTGTTGAACGGCGGCTTCAAGAATGCGCTGGACGTGGATGTGGGACTGTTCAGAAAAACGTATGGCTCGGAGAATATCTTCGACACGAGGATACAGTCGGGCGGCACGGTCGTCCTCGGCGAGGAAGTTCTGCTGCGCGTGTTGGTCAACGGCGACGACGGTAGGGGTTTATTAGTGACGGTGATAATATCGTACATGTTCTTATTCCCTCGCCTAGGATGTGGATGATGTTTTTGAAACGCCTACGTGACTTCACGTAACGGGACGTGTAATCTTCTTTAAGAGACAGGAATATACGACAGACTATGAAACTAATTATTAAGAAAATAGATAAAGAAGACGTGAAAGATTAATTATGGACCATTCAATAAGAACGCCTCCAACGGTCACCAGTAGCTGCACTGGGAGAAAAAATACCTAAGAAATAAAAAGTATTTATTCGTTAGGTGTTAATAATATATTTACTTACTCTCTAAATTTTTTGAAGTAAAGTTTCACTCGAAAGGAGTGGATATTCACTTCAAGCGATAATGAAAATACTGTCGCTCTGAGTGGAGTGATATTTCATTTTTCATAAAAACGAATATTTTATTCCAACTAGAGTGAATATTTTATTCCAAGTAAAGTGAATTTTTACGATTAGGTAAAAAGACAAATCTATAATTCTATATCGTGCTATATCTATTTATAATTGCTAGTGATTCTAGTTATTGTAACTGTGATGTGCCATTTAATTAATTCCATTTACAATACGCTTGAAAAAATTCGCTAACCATAGTGGGACTTAAACCTGTGACTTCTAGAGACAAGAATAAAATAATTAGTAGTTTTAAAATTTTGAGGTACTCATATCTGGTATAAAAATGTAGATTTTATTAAAAGTATTACAAAAGATTAAATTACAAACACGAATTCAGAGAATCTGTCAAAAAATAATCTTAACAAGAAAATAAACAACTTCTACAGTATGAAATAGCTGTAACAGAATGATCTTATCATTAAAAAATGTTAATTTCAACATATAGCGATGTTAACATATTTCTACAAAGATTTACCAAATGATAAAAATGATATTAACCCATTAACGCTCAAATGTGCTGAAATTTTACGTTGATTTGAGCCATTTATTTTATTACGGAAATGAGGTCTGTTGTTTATAAAGAATACCATTCCTACCAATTTTGATGCTTTATCGAATAGTGTTTTTTACTATGTAATTACTATGTAATTTACTATGTAATTTTGTAGTAATATTGACTCTAAAACAATTTCGATAATCAAATATAAACAAAAATTCGAATTAAACGCTTCAAATCGATCGCCATTTTGGTATCGCCATGTTTGTTGAAAAAAATACATGGCATATTTTTTAAGTTAAAGTGTCGGGAACACGTTTTAGACACTTTCCCGAGTGATACTAAAACGTTTTTGTGGAGAAAATAGCGGAAGAAGAAAAAATTAACCCTAAAACGCGTTTTATTTTATTTTATTTTGCAAAAATTTTGCATAAATTACAATTTTTTTTATTTTCTCAACGCTATTCAATAGAGCGACATCGAAATTCGTAAGAATGGTACTTTTTATAAACAACAGACCTCATTTCCGTAGTAAAATAAATGGCTCAAATCAATGTAAAATTTCAGCACATTTGAGCGTTAATGGGTTAATTTTGAAAGAAAATTTATAAAAAAATCCATTTAAAACTGTTGCCAGGAACATTTTGCTTGCTATATTTGAATTCAGCAGATCAAAAAGAATTGATAACATTTATCTCTGGCACAAAATAGCCGTTAACTAGTGTCATACAATAGTAATCTTGTCTTATTCGAGATGAAAGCTACTTTCGCTATTGGCGATATCACATTCCGTTTTATTCATGAAAATCTCGCTTTATCATTTCGCGTGTTGCAGGTTGGAAATACTCGAAGATGGGCCAAGTGACGATGCATTACGTAGAGATGAGGCAGCAGCAGGACGTCGTCAACAGCCTGTGGATTCTCGACAAGGACGGCTGCTTGAATACGGACGTGCGCGAGATCTGTCCGCGAGAGCAATACATCGCGTCATCGTTGGAAAGCTATTTGATCTTCCAGGCGTTCATGTTTGAGGGTATGAAAGAGACCGACGAGATTTTCTTGACGGTGAAGACGATAGCGTGCCTGGAGGCCGTCGACTGCACCCTCGATTGTCCCGCTGGTCACGTTAGGCGCGCTCGGAGGAGCGCTACAAATCGCAACAACACGGTCGAGTGGCAGGACGATATAGCCCTGCGAGTGGTCTTGCCAAAGTACGGCTGGCGAGCTTCGAAGAGTTATTATTTAGCGTTCTTATTAGCGGCCTGCGCTCTGCTCACGCTGATCATCGCGTCACTGTGGTTCATCAAAACTTCGTCTCGTCGAAGAACATCGATAATCTGAGTACTCTTAGAGATCCTGTGTTCTTGCCGCGGCTATCTTGATTAATGACGTCAGAAGAGCAAGAAAACATATGCCCAAAAGTTGCGGGATACGTCAAAATAAAAGGATATGTCCATAAAATGACACCTGTGATCGATTGAGCACATTTATAAAGTATTGCGGAAACTTTTCTTGTATCCTGACAATCAATAAATAACCGTCAAATTAACGTGACAAAATCATGAGGATTAAAAGTGAGTTAAGAAGAGAGGAAATTTGCATGTCATGTTAATTTTACGCTTATTTACTGATTATTAGAGCAGAAGGAAAGTTTTTAGAACATTTTACAAATGTGTTCAATCAATCTTAACGTTCACTTTATAGGCATATCTCTTTACTTTAACGTATTTCGCAAAAATTTTGAGCATGTGTGTTTTCTCACTTCTGGCGTTATCAATCAAACGTTCCGAGGCGAGAGGCACTGACGAGGGAGCTTTAAAATGTTCGATCTATTTATATTAGAATCAGGAAACGATTTTTTTCAAATAACTCACTACCCATTGACAAAAAGTAACTCGTTACCGTTACTAATTTTGAAAAATGTCGTTACTATTACTATCAATCAAACAGTAACGAGTTGTTACCATTTCCGTTACTGTTTTTTCATCGAGTTTTTGAAGATCTTTTTTATAATTTATTATTGTCCATCTCATATATATGTTTTATATTTTATATTTTACATATACAAAATAATAGTGAAAGTAATGATTATATTTATTACTGTTAATAAAAAAAATTTAATTGCGTTGTCGTTATTGTTATTAAAGAAAAAATGTCAAATCATTATTTAAAAGAAAAGTAACTTATTATTGTTGCCATTACTCAAATTTCAAAAATAATAACTCATTACTATTATTGTTACTTAAACAGTAACGAATTATTGCATTTTCCGGTACTGTTCTTTTACCAAGTTTTAAAGATCTTTTTTATTTATAATTTAGTAACATTCACCCATATACCTATATATATGCATCTTATATGCATAAAATAACAATAAAAGTAACGATTATACTCGTTATCGCGTTAGCCAAAAAATATAATTTTATTATCCTTAAAAAAAAAAAAAGAAAATAGTTTCAAATCGTTCTTAAAAAAGGTAACTAGTTATTGTTGCCGTTACTAATTTCGTAAAAAATAACTTGTTATCATTAGTCAAACAGTGATGAGTTGTTACATTTTCTGATACTGTTCTTTTATCAAGTTTTGAAGGTTTTTTTATTATTTACATTATGCTATTACTCAACTTTATATATATGTACTTTACATGTATAAAATAACAAAAGTAATGATTATTAGTAAGGATTATTAATAACGATAAGTAACAATTATTCGTTTATTTAGTTAACTTGTTACTGTTTGCCAAAAAACATAATTGCCTTATTGTAATCGTTATTAAAGAAAAAAAAATAGTATCAAGTCATTATTGGGAAAACGACTTCTAACGACAATGCGCATTACTTTCCAGTTCTGATTTATACATAGTTAGTAGTACATAAAATTTCGATTTGTATGTTCGTCTACCTTAGTGGAAATAGACATTGGCAAATCTTTTTTTTCCGAAGAACAGATTTCGCATTAAATAAAAATGAAACGATCGTTGTGTTAATGCATATATCGTGCGGCTAAAAAGACGTCCCGTTTATTTTGAAATACGACAGTCACGATTTTAGGAGAAGGAGAGTCTCATTACACGACGTCTGACATCAATGTTTGGCTTTATGAAACGCGGCTTGGCATCTCCCATGCATCCAGCTCGGAGCACAGCTTCAGTCCAACCGCGAACAAAGCGAGAGACGCGAATATGCTCCTCACGAACTGATCTCTGCTCAGGGTGTACAGTACGCAAGCCAGCGAGCACGTGCACACGTCCTCGAAATAGCTGAAGCCCTTCGTCAGATAATAATGATCTACGATCCTCTGCCGTTCCTCCAATTTGCGCATAATGCGCTCTGTAACAGGAGAATCGCAACTGTAAAATGATGTATACGCGTATACGACGCACATAACCTTCCTAGAAGGAAAGATCAATATTACGGTGTATAACTACAGGCAGGGCAAAAAATTATGTGACGTCAAAGTGACGAGAAAGTGACCAAAGATCTCATGATCATGACTCGATCGTTTTCTCGTCACTTCGACGCTATCGTGATTTTCTGCTCTACTTGGTATAACACCGACGCACTTCCTCTTAGAAACACTTCACGAGGATGAATACCTAGATAGCACTGAGAATTCAAAAAGAATTCAGTCATATGTCAGAATTTCTTCAGAGTTCAGTTCAATGAAAAGAATTCTTTTTGCATCTAAAAATGAACTCATAATTAGTGAATATGATTGCATTCTTTTTTAATTTTCTGTGCAACCTGGATACCCTTAGAAATATCATACTAAGAATCATTGATAATTACTTATTTTTAGTATTAAAAATATTGGATAATAAGTAATTATCAATGATTCTTAGTATGATATTTCTATAAAGGTAGTTCTTTAAATCTTTTTTATAAAATGCATGAAATTTTTGCATGAAATTTCACTCGAAAAATAAAGTGATCATCAAGTAACTCGAATTCGAGTGATATTTCACTCATATAGAATTCTCAACTCTGAATTGCCGAGTAAATATTTTCGTTCGAAGTTCAAGAGTGTATCGGATATACAGTGATTAATCAAATTAAACATTGACTATGTTCAATCGTTAGTCGAATAATCTTTAATTACTTTCGCTCGTTTTAATCGTTAGTTCAATAGTTTTTAATTAACTATTGCTACATAATATTTTAATTAAAAAAGAAAACAAGTGAGCTTAGAAAATAAATACAATTAATATAATTAATACAATTAATATTTAGTAACATATCCCTTGACTGCCTCAATTCTTTTAGGCATATTTTTAATACATTTCAAACAGTTTGTCTTGATTTCTTCGTTTCTGTGCCATATGTCAATCAGACGCTCAATTAATCGCTGCTTATTTGTAACGATTTTCTTAGATATTTTTCATTTTAATAGCTGCTAAAGGTTTTTCATAAGGTTGAGGTTTGGAAAATTTCCTGGCCAAGAACATTCACTTTTTCATTAAAAAGAACATTCATTTTTTCATTCATTTTTTCATTTCTTTTTTAGTAAAAAAATCTTGTGATTTTTTTAGCTTTATGACATGGTGCAGAATCATGCATAAATATACATTCATAATGTAGATATCATTTCTAGGTCAGGGACAGCAAACAGGCATTCAATACTAACTTGTGAAATCGTTAATTATTCGTGTGGCTCTAATAATTTGATCAACCACTGTACTTCTCTATCACAAGCGTATGTTCATTTCAATCGATCGCAATATTCGTTCATACCCAGACAACAATTCTTGTTCGCAAAGCTTGTTACGCTTGGAAATCTACAAGATTTGTCTACGTTTCATTTGTGAAATGTTCTTAGTTATACATGTTGCACACAAATCGATAGACTATTTATTATGTTATACATCACATGAAATCTTGTGCATATGATTAGTACACTGCCAGAATTTGCTCGTGACTCGACAATATATTACGTGGCTCATAAGATATCTGTTCGCAAGTTGTTTGATGTGCACACACAACTTCCCTACACGTCTTAATTTTACATGCATTTCACGTCTTCATAAGAAGAATATCGCGCACAAATTTCGTGAACTATTTGATATACTAAGAGAAAAAAAGATTCATCTAATTAAAATTATAATTTATTTTTGGTCCTAATTTTCTTTATTATATCTAATTATATCTTTTTGTAATATTTTTTAGTATGATAAATGATAAAATAATAACATGCATATAAGGTTATTATCGCTACACGGAGAAAAATAATTTGCTGGCCCAGCAAATTTTCTGCTGGTCTAGCAAAATCTTTTCGTTATTATATGGACAGCAAAAAGAGTAAGAGTTGCTAAGAATACTAATCACTATATGCTGGATATAATTTGCTGAATCTACAAATTATTTTGCTATAAGAATGCCATGATGGATTTATATAAGTAGTTGCAGTTTTGCTCCGATAGCAAATAAATTTGCTAAGGATACATTATTTTGCATCAATAGCAAATAAATTTGTTAAGGACACATTATTTTGCATCAATAGCAAATTAATGTGATTCTTAGGACAAGTACACTCAACAAATTTTTTCTATTCTGGCAACGAAATTACTTCTGCTCTGATAACAAATAATTTGTAAAATTAGTTACGTCAACTAAAATTTTTTTATGTCACTACGGATATGCAGTAGCAACGACGATTTTGCTAAAAGAACAAAATTATTTTTCTCCGTGTAATATTATAATAGAATTTAACGAAAAAAATTGTTTTCTTAATCATAATTTATAGTAATAATTTCTCTATGTGATTATAGAGAAACCTAAGGCATATATAATGGGATATTATCGATAATTTTTTGAATACGTATTGCTATGTAATAATATGTTTTGCAACTATCACTCTAAGATGTCTCTTATTGCGTGCTGTTATCAATTATCATAATATTTTCCGTTAAAAGATGTTAGATATTGTTTTTAACGTTTGATATGTTCTCCGCCAATACTTTATTCGATACTTTTATACAAGGCAAACAATGATAATCAATAAAACAAATGATAAAATTCTGTTTTTTACGTATTATAAACTTGTGTTTTTCTCATAATCCCAAATAATGGACAGTTTAAAGAACATTTTGATATAATATATATGGAGTTGATCTATTTACTTCTAATATGTTTAAAACTTATTTAAACTTTACGGCCCTCATTATGTCCACGTTCTCCTAGTTACAAATACTATATATTTTTTTCTCAATGTACTTCGAGTGAAAATACCGGTGCTTTTCATTCGTTTTGAGTGAAATTTTTCTAAGGGTTGATTTGAGATCAAAGAGATTCCAATCTGCTGGTAAGCTACCTGACAATTAAATCATATATCTGTCTTTGTTTTTTCTTTAAATTAGACAGAGATAGACATATGATTTAATTGTTAAAGGTAGCTTACTAAGGTCTGGTTGCACCAACATTATTTTGGCTTTAAGCGAAACTTAAACATATATCTATCTTTATCTTTCTTTCTATATAAATAAAGGCAGACATATATTCAAGTCTCACTTAAAACCAAAATAACGTTGGTGCAACCGGGCCTAAGAGGTTGGAACAATCGAGCGAAAAGGTTGGCCCTAAAAAATTTAGGAAGTAACAGCTCGCCTTTTTGTTGGTTTATCAGCGGGCACGTGTCGTCGCAGACATCCTCCGCTATTGCAGGTGCAGGTGCAGACACGCGATCAGGCTCACGCGACACATCTTCCATCGTCAAAGCAACAGGAGTCTCTATTCTATCTTCTACTTCTACGCGATCAAATCTTTCGGGCACCGATGGTCCAGTGAACTCTTTGCGATCGACTTCCACATCCCTAATAGGAATCTTCTCCCGACGTACCGTTTTTACTTCCTCCACCTCCTCTTCCTCCTCCTCTGCAATCTGCTTCGCGGTCGCGGTGGGTAGAGATTTCTGCAATTCTTCGTCGATAAATTCGCCATAATCGTCGTCTTCCTCTTTCTCTCGACGTTGCCTCGTCGGCGCGTCCTGCGGAAGTCGAGTTTCCACCTCCACCACATCCACATCCGCCACATCCACCTTTTGCTCTAATGCGAATTTTGCTGGTGTTATCGTCTGATCGATGATTTCGGTCTCGATGGCCTCGGCTTTCTCATTTGTCACCGGAATTTGATTTGTTCGCTCTATTATGGTTTCATCGACAACTGGTTTCCTTGTCTCGGCCACCTCGATCTGATCGTCAACATAATCTGTTGGAATAACAATTGGTTGTTCTACGACCAATGTTTCTTGAATAGCTCTTGGTTCTTGGACATCCACAGGTTTGATCACGCGTTCCGATTCGTCTCGTTGTTTCGTTGGTGGTATTATCTGATCGATTTCGTCCTCGTCGATTGTGTCTTCTTCTACCGTGATTCTCTTGGCGACCAGCTCTCTTTCTTCAACGAAATCGACTTCCTCGTCATCCCGTTTTATTAACTTCTCGGAGATAACAATCGGTTCTTGAACTATTAAAGTTTCTTGCACAATTTTCGGTTCCTGGATACCTTCTGACCAGAGTTGGGTATGAGTTAATATTTCTTTTATAACTAAGCCCAGAGCAAACACAATGTAACATGTAACGTATCTGTTGTAATTTTCTACTCAACAATATAACTGTTATATAGTGCGTGTGTTATATAACAGTTACATTATTGAGTAAGAAATTACAGGTAACATGTATGTTACATGTTACATTGTGTTTGCTGGGAAGTTAAGTTTAAAGCTAATAGTTTATATAATTAACTTACTCAAACAAAACCAAAAATCACGATGATATCAAAATTACTAAATGATGAGAAAATTACTAAAAAACTCACTTTTCAATCACGATTCGATCATTTTCTCGTTATTTTGACATAATCGTGATTTTTTTGTTCTACTTGGGTAGTTGAGGGTCTCGGTTCTTCGCCGAAAAACTCTTGACTGATGACATTAGAAGCGAGAAATTTTCAAAATTTTTGCGTATCATTTTCAAATAAGAAGATATTTGTATGAAAAAATATTTGATATTGCTTGAGTATACTTATACAAACTGAAAATCAATTTTTTCTGTTGAGTTAATAAATAGCCGTAAAATTAATGACATGCAATCTTCCTCTTTAATCTATGTTTTCTCGTAATCTCGTTGTGTTAATTTTACGACTATTTATTGACTGTCAAAGAAGATGATAGCTTTCAAAGCATTTTACAATAAATATGCTCAAGCGATCTGAAATGTTCTTTCATCTTTTTTATTTAAAAAATAACAAAAATTTTTACGTTTTGCTTCTGACGTTACAATCTAATATGGCTGCGACGAGTATCTAGGAGTTTTAAGTTTAAACCCATATAGCATAAATCTCTAAAAGACTTCTTAAAGAATTCTAAAAATGTTTTGGAGGACTTGGAAATTTTTTTGGAATTCTTTTAGAAGTCTTTTAGAGATATGTACTATATGGGAAGTTAATGGTTTGTACAATTAATTTAGTTAAGTTAAAAGTTACATAAATAAAAACTATCTTAAAGAGAGTGAGAGAAAGTGAATGAATTATGCAAAGTAATATGTTTTTTGCACAATCAATTTATTAATTATAGATTAAATTGTTGAAGACTTCTTAAATAAATAATTCTTTACTAAGAAAATATTGATTGTTTTGCTCAGGATTTTATAGAAGAAAAAGTACTGGTGCTAGGGAGGCAGATAAAAATTCTGCTATTATTTTTTATTTTTCTTATTCTTCATTGTAAGCTGCCTACAATGATTTTAATATTGACGAATTAATTTTTATTTACATGAGAAAGTTAATAAATTAAAATAAAACAATTAATGCGTTTAAAAACAACTAGTTTAAGTTAAAAGTTAACTCGTTTAAAGTTATCTAAAATAAGTTAAAAGTTATAAACTTTTAAACTAAATTCTTAATTAATTAACTAATTATTACCCAACTCTGCTGCTGGCTCAATCACACGTTCTGGTTCGTCTCGTCTTAGTATGTCTCTCGTGACATGAAGTTTAGGATCCGCAACCTTCCTCTGCAGGGAAACTTCATCCAACAACCAAGGTGCTTCTGCGACTATTTTATAAAGACGATAATTGAAGTATAATTTAGGTAATAATATTTATTAGGAATGCATCGACTTAGAGTTGTTACATATAAACTGACGTACTTGCGTCACGTATCTGTTTTTTTACTGTAGAACAGTTTTTAGAACACTTGTACATTATACCGACCTCGTTGAATATTTTGAAATTTTATGCGATATTTCGTCTCGAATTAATGTATTATTTCGCAGCCTGATAAGATTAACGCATTACAGATGAAGAATTTTATGTGATTTTCGAAATCATTGTCAGTATCTCTTATCACTTATTGAGGTTAACAAATGTGACAGTTTGCGCCGACTTGTGCCTACATTTGCTTGATGAACTGGTAGAGAACTTTGACAAATGAATGAAGAAATGGACGGACCTCAAAACGAAATCGAAAGTGTCCCTGATTATTTGGACAGAAACATATTTCCGATCTTATTGAATGCAATGGAAGAGATGTTAATCGAAGCTCATCGCCGAGATGCTCTGGAAGTATAATTTACATCATTATTCTCAATGACTCTCTGATTGTCTGCTCTAAATCAAGGGGAAGTTACTATATTGTGCAGAGAGGGCAAATGTTTCTTCAATGCATTGGACTGCCTCGCGGAGATCCTTTGGAATCGCAATTCGCTTCATCCGAGTAGATCGTGTACCTGGACGAGTGTTTTTAGCATACCACAATTTAAACTATGGCTGAGGACGCAGTAAGAATAAAATAGCATATCACTCAGCTTTCTAGTTATGATTTATTTCAGTATCTTTTTTTTCTCAGTGTTCAAACTTAGATCATTTTTACCTCAGATTATTTCAGTACTCTTTTATCTCCTTCGAGTCCTAGACCAATTTATCCGAAGTCATGGCTATGGACCAAAGAAGAGGCTGCTTTACGCATACAGAGATACACTCGCGGTTGGCTCGTTAGAAAAAGGTCGGACGTTCAGGAAATGCGTCAGTTTTGGAAGGTATCAATGCATATTATCCTAATTTTATTTTGCAAAAACGATTACATTAAAGAAATATACTTTTGGTGTAAATTATAGATCATTAGTGCAGAGAGAACGGAACTCTTCATCCCTGAATCTGACCATACATCCAATAGAACAGGCTGTTAAAAGCTGATCTGTGACTGCTACCTTCTTTATTTCACTTCTTACAGTGCTTTTTGTCGTATTACTCATGAGAAATAATTTAAAGGACGATTAATTTTTGTTTTTAATAATTATATACTTCAAATACATAATCTCTCACAAAGGTTTGGTTGCTTTTATCTCTGGATATAACCACTATAAACCATTTTTACTTTTGGACTTTCACCATCTGAACGTGAAAATCGTCTGAAATCGCAATTCGTTTCATCCAAGTAGACCGCATACCTGGATGGACGCTTTCAGCATACTATAATTTAGATCGCGGTGAGAAAATATAGTATATCGTTTCATTTGGAGTTACTTCAGTATCCCCTTCGAGACACTTGGACCATTATCTGAAATTTTGACTGTGAACCAAAGGAGACTGCTTTACGTATACAGAAATACATTCGCGTTTAGTCTATTAGAAAAAGAACAAATGTTCAGAAGATACGTCAGTTTTGGAACAATTTTAATACATACATTTAGTGCATACTGTTTTAATTTTATATTACAAAAACGATCACGCTAAATAAATATGCCTATCTACAAAAAACCATTCAATAAAACAGACTATAAAAAGCTGGTCTAACTATTATCCTTTTTATTTTCCTAAAATATTTTTGTCTTATCACTCGTAAGGAATAATTTAAAAGACTATTAGTTTTTATTTTTAACAATTATATACTTCAAATACATAATTTTTCACGAAGAATCGGTCGCTTTTGCCTTTGGATAAAAGAAGCTAGATGTTCTTATGCAATATTCGTATTTCATTGTTGGAGTTTCACCCTCTTCGGCTATTTTATAGTTCTTTATGTCCATATTCGTAATGTTGTACTTGATAGGTAATTTCGGCTGCTCCTGTTCTGGAATATCCTTCACTTTCATTTGTCGTAATAACAATTGTAAATACAGAGGTGGAAATTCCCCTGTCTTAGGCAGAATTTTCTTTTCAGGAGGCGGTACAGTTGATTGGAGATACAGATGCTCCTGATCTTTAGGTATTAACATATAATCTGCCTTATACGTTGCACCATACAGTTGCGATGGATATGGGTTTTTCAGGCCGCGAAAAACTCTTTCGACCAACACTACAACTTTGCGATCACTCTGCAACAACATGGATGAAATTACATCATATATCACAGAAATGAGATTTTACACATAAATTATGGTGCTCTAAGTCTACGTGTAAGCAACGTAAACTATGTGTGTCATCTATATAGACAATGACTTTGTTTAGCAAAGGAAGCTGCTTTGCAACTGTTGTAAAATTCATACTCTAATTGGTGTAAAATTCATACTCTTAACTGCTTATTCTAAGGTTCTTTTTATCGATAAAGATATCTATGAACCTATAAATGTAAGCCTTCTAATTAGCATATTTCCTATACAGCACGCAAATATTGAATCAACATTTCAGAAATGTTACGTTGCGACATTGCAATGTTGCATCAACATTTTGAAATATAAATTCAATGTTGAAAAGACATTGTAGAAACGTCTAATTCCGTTGAATTGTAATATTTTGTAGACATTGCAATTTAATATTGTTAAATATTGATTTAACATTGGCCGTGTTCAGCGTCTATTGTAAGTTTTCTTACAACTGTTAGTAGTTTTTATGCTAAAATTGGATTTTGTATATTATTGAAACACTAATATGCAAAGATTAAGAGTACTGATCGATTTTCTTCGTTATTCAATGTATAAAAATATTAAAGTAATGTCAACATATATAATAGTTAATATCCCATACAGCACAAAATCTCCTGTGTATAGTTAATAAGATATTCTATACTTTGTATTGAAAAATATCAGGATATAATGTAAAATATTTCCGAAAATATTCACATTTCGATTATTTCCTCTCAATACACAGAATAACCAAAAAAATTAAATGTAAACTTGACATGATTTTAGCAAAGTCAAAGTGAATAGCATTATCAGACTGTACAAATTGTTTGAAACATTTTTCGATGAAATCCTTGATTTTTGAGAAAAATTTCTATGCGTCAGTTAAAAGGATATATAAAATTTCTTTTCAGTATCTCTACCTGAATTTCAAAAGATAATAATTTCTTCAATGTTGTTTCAATGTTATAACAACATAAAGAATCAATGTAAAAGAATCAATATAGGTTCAACGTTGGAAAGATATTTATATTTCAACATTCAACATTACAACATCTCAGCAACGTTGTTTCAACTTTCTGTGCTGCATGGGTTTAGATTTGTATTAATAGTCGTTATTTGAAACTTGTCTCAAGTGAGATACTTAGGTCTGAATTTAGAGTTAAATGTAAGTTTTCCAGTTGAATTAAAAATATAATGCCATAAATATCATATAATTCAAATGAAAAACAAATACAATTTAAAATTTAAATTTGTGTATCTCATGTCAGGAAAATTCTAAAGTACTTTTATCGACAAAAGAAATGCAGAATAAAAATCTACTAAGATTAAGAGCATACAACAATCAGATTTATGAATCTTACAACAGTTGCAAAGGAACTTTCTCTGCTGAACACAGTCTATATCTGTTATGTAAATGGCATATAGCTTGCTGGAAAATTAATTAAGAAAAGTTTATATCCTCGTGTAACCTTTGGAATCTTAATATAAATCTATGGACATTGTTTCCTAGACAAATTGAAGTCCACAAAATTCTCTAGTTACATTCTTATCTACAAAGATAAATCTATCGATCTGTCACAACGAAATGAAAATTCATGTAATTTATCCTTTTCAAACATTATATTTATAATTAATAACAGATACGATCATTTAATTACTCTTTCTTTGCTGTATTTATATATTTTATGTGTATTACATGTATATTATGATATAATTTATAATATTTTACATATTTTATATTGTCTACATGCAAATTGATCGTATATACTTCATATAAAAAATAAACAGCAATAAGCAAATTGAAATTTATGGCACAACCCTGATATACATAATTCATACTCACATAAGGTTTATCACTCGAAGGCATTGCGGCGACTTTCAGTATTTTCATGTAACAGGGCTCAGGATACCTCTGAAAACGATTTCTTACCACAATCCTCCCCACGCCGAAATTTTTCAAATTCGCCAGAATCTCCCACAAGGGTTTCCCCTTAAAGTCTGTCGTGCGACCGATTAATTTTATGGGCATTGTAAAAGAGATTAACTTGTGATTAACCTCGCAATCAACAATCACAAGCCAGTCAGCACGCTCTATTCGTACTTCTACAGTTTTCTCCACTGGCGATTGATTTCACGTACGTGACTGTTTAATTTCTTCTCAATGTTATACTCACTTATTCGTGAGACACAACATCCAAATCAACCGAAGTCACATGTATTTTGAATAATTACAAGTTATATACTACGAGTTGTGAGAGATTAGATTAGGTCAGATTAGGTTAGGTTTCCAAATTTTTTTCAGTCTACAAAGAATACACAGATGGCAGCATTGATCACGAATATAGGTTCGTGAATCCTCGCATGCGATCGGCACATTTCGTGGCGATGCTTCTGAAAGTTCAAATTTAATATAATGATGAAGCAGTTACGAACATGATAAATTCAATACGATGATAGATAGATTAAAAGCTTTTTAAATAGTCTAAATAATAGACACAAAGAGTCAGATAAACGACTAATAATTATATCAATTTTCAAATCGTGCAGATATGTATTAATCTAGTAAATAAAGAAAATTAGATCAACATGTTGAAATATTGATTTTACATATATCTCTTGCACATTTTTATTTAATATTTTAAAAACATTTTAAAGATATTATTAGATAAAACGATCCCTTTGGATATTGCAAAAATATTTTAGAAATATTAAAGTTGAAGTTGTTCGTAATAATGTCGTTACAACATTAAAAATTATATATTAGAAAACATTACATGTTACTAAATATCGTTGCAATAATATTCTATTAATAATTTTTTGCTTATTGGAAAGGGAATGCTGGAGTCAATGACGAATTAAAAAAATGTCGATAAAATGCAAAGACGATCGTTACTAACACAATCGTTACTCACACTATCCTTTTCGTATTTTTTGTATATATAGAACTTATGTAAATGTATATTTCTTTGTTTTAAAAACTTTTATTCAGCAGAAAACCTGACATATGTGTAGAAACCTTTCTGCAAACTTTTCAAATATTCTTCTAAGTTTCTGAATTCAGATGCAAAAAAAAGTATAACAATATTCTTTAAAATTTTTCTATTTGGAACGTCCACACTTTCGGTACGTACAAGTTGCGGAACTCTTAAGGGGGAAATCTACTTTAGGAGGCCGGAAAATAGGTAATTTTTCGTAATTTTTTAAAGAAGAACAATAAATAAAATTTATGGTTTAAAAACTTTTAACACGTTTTAATAACTACTGAAGAATACATTAAAATTTTTTTGTATATAAAAAAGTATTATTAATGATACATTAACATTAACGTCATTATATTAATAAATAAACATTTAGTTGTGCGCTTCGCCATCAGAGTTACCATTTTGTGTACATTGTCGGGACTGTAATTCTTGTCTGAAACAAAAATGGAAAAAATATTTTCAATTTTTATATAATTTTATTTCCTAAATGAACCTATAAAATTAAAAAAAAATATATATATATAAATTAAAATTTTGTGCGACTTTGAAGATAAAGTTACGATTTTCACCACGTAATATCCTTTTCTTGATGCAAAAAGAAATGTTAATATTAATTTTTTTTTACTTTTTTAGGTTCATCGAGAAGGGTTTAGCATTATCTAATTAACGAGCTTTATAAAAAATCGATTGGTCAAATAATTTTTTGTTAATCGTGTACCTAAAATTGAAGAAAATGTAAAAAACAGATTTCGAAAAAAATGCGTTTAAAGTTTTCGGTATAATTCTTGAATACTTACAGTGCTCAGAAGCTAATCTGTTATTCCAGGGCCATACAGGAGCTCTTCAGCTTCCTCATTAAATTTGTTTTGAGCAATTTGAGCCATTCTACGAGCTGCTCGGATCTCTCTCGTGCTACTTGTTTGTCGACGTTCCTGTCTAGAGATTCGTTGTGTGTCATACATATTTGCATATTGGTTGCATTCTGGTCCAATATTAATTTCTAATTCATTCATAAATTTTAAAATGACAGAATATCCCTCGTTGAAAATGCCGGCGACAATAAAAGCGGCTGTTTCAATTATTTTTGCACCGCAATTGAGGTGCTTTGGCGCCAGTCTCCAAATGGTCGAGTTGAAACTTTCGTTAGCGTTTTTGGTGTGTCCACCCAGACATCACGTTAACAAATCTTCATTTGATAAATATGTATAAATAGAAATCAAATACTTCTCGATATTTGAGTGGAGTGATGGTCATAGTTTTCCACTGTACCCATCGCCTCATACTTTCGATATTGACACCAACTGTCGGTTCCGGTCAGACATTTATCGTGCCGCGGATTTTCATTCGTTGAGCATAAATGTTCTAACGTTGTCCATATCGCTTTTTTCATGTCGGCTACAGAATTTAAATTTCTCCTTATCGCAAGCCCGTAATATGTAGTTAGCTTTTTGATTAGAACGTCTGTCAGCTTTCCTTTACCGCCAAGCTTGTGTGTTTTTTATATAAAGGTGAGGAAAAAGTATGGAAACCCTGAAAAATCTCAAAAAATATAACTTTTACAGAAAAATGTTTTAAATAAAAGTTGTAGGATTTAAAAAGGTCTGTTCAATAGTCTCATCAGTTTGACCCTGGCTGGCGTCGTTAAGGTGAAGTCAAAGTCACCTTGAATTTTTTAAATGGAACACCCTATTTTTTATTGCATATTCTTATAGTCCTTCTCAATACCTTTTCAAAGCACTATAATTTTATTCATTTTCGGTCAGCCATTTCAAAGTTATTGAGTATTTTACAATAAGAAATAATAGACACCCGAAAACAAGGTCAGAATATGATCCAGCCAACTAAGGCAAAATCGGAGGATGATCCAGCCAACTAAGGCAAGATCGGAGGATGATCCAGCCAACTAAGCCAAGATCGGAGGATGATCTATTTTTAAATTTATAATAAAAATTTATAATAAATTTTCAAAATGTTCACCATTCACAGTTTGACAGTGTGCTAGCCGATTGTAAAATCCTGAAACAGCGTTCCTGATGTAATCCTTAGGAATGAGCGCAGCTTCATCAAGGATTCGACGACGTAAATCATGTATATTTTGTGGTTTTGTCGTATAAACTTTACTTTTCAGATAGCCCCATAGAAAATAATCCAGAGGTGAGAGATCTGGCGATCGAGCTGGCCACTCAATTGGACCTCTTCTCCCTATCGTTCAACGAAGACTTCGTTTAAATAGTAACGGACATTTCTTCCATAATGTGGTGCAGCACTATCCTGTTGGAACCAAATGTTCTCAATATCTTTCTTTAGTTGGCTGGATCATATTCCGACCTTGTTTCGGGTTTATTACTTCTTAAAATACTCAATAACTTTGAAATGGCTGACCGAAAATGAATCAAATTATAGTGCTTTGAAAAGGTATTAAGAAAGACTACAAGAATATGCAATAAAAAATAAGGTGTTCCATTTAAAAAATTCAAGGTGACTTTAACTTCACCTTAACGACGCCAGCCAGGGTTAAACTGATGAGACTATTAAATAGACCTTTTTAAATCCTACAACTTTTATTTGAAACATTTTTCTGTAAAACTTATATTTTTTGAGATTTTTCAGGGTTTCCATACTTTTTCCTCATCCTGTATACAAACAAATTTTTAAACCAGGTATATATAAACGCTGACTCATATTCGTTTAACGAACATATAATGAGCCAATGAAAAGAAGTAACCGAGAGACGGAGCGCGCTCCGTATAACAGCGCGCCGCGCTCCAATTATAAGTGCTGAATTTATTGAAGGACTTCGAAATTCGCTCTAAAATTTTAGAAATATATCTTCAATATATCTTAACAGTTATACTATCGATTTATGAAAAAAAAAATCGACTTTTTCCGACCTTGTAAAATAGACTCTCCCCTTAAATTAGGCAAATATTATGCCAATGACAGAGATTTTACATTACATTTTTTTTTCCGGTTTCGTCACATATTGAGCAATGCTTCCATTTATTTTTGCACGTACTTTCATTGCGTAAAATCATTTATAATTCTGTACAACCAATACGACGTAAACTTTGTAGAAAAATGTCGGTAAAGTTTTCAGTTTCAGCATCCCCTATAGACCTATATTAATAGTCGTTATTTGAAATTTGTTTTGAACGAACATTCAGATTTGAATTTAGACCCACACAACACAACATCTAAAATCGGGACATAAGACGTCTGAAAGGCATCTTGAAGACATCTCTCAAACGTCGGAATGTAAGATGTCCCTAAGATGTCTTTAAGACGTCTTTAAGACGTCTTATGTCCCGATTTTAGACGTTGTGTTGTACGGAATGTAAGATGTAAATTTTTCAACCGGATTACATTTATAATAAAAATTTATAATAAATTTTCAAAATGTTCACCATTCACAGTTTGACAGTGTGCTAGCCGATTGTAAAATCCGATTGAAACATCGTTCCTGATGTAATCCCTAGGAATGAGCGCAGCTTCATCAAGGATTCGATGATGTAAATCATGTGTCAAATATTTTGTGGTTTTGTCGTATAAACTTTACTTTTCAGATAGCCCCATAGAAAATAATCCAGAGGTGAGAGGTGAGAGGCCAATATAATGTTACATAATATGATTTATTTACTTCAGCTTACATACCAAGAAGGGACTTGGTTTACAAAATTTTCCTTAATCCTTGTGTTCATACATTCATCTATACCTTATTTTCTACTTAATCTCTAATACATTTTTCGTTCCAATTTATTTTATTTTCTATTCTATTTATATATTCTCGTATTCTCATTCTAACTATAATTTTATTTACTCAGTAAGCAAATTGATGGCAAAACACGTGCATATTAGCGTCAAATTTGATTAAAATCCTTTATCAAAACCATAGCCATTTGTGTCTATATTCAGCTCTTGTTTTGTCGTCAGAGTCTACTGACAAGCAACGAAATCCTGTCTCGCAGCAGGGTCTGCTTGGTTTCTGCTATCAATCTGCCATCAGATCGTTATAGGCACCGCTCAATTTCTGTCACCAATCTGCTCGGATTGCCTATCAACAGGCTCTGTCAGATTTCTGGCGACAGTTTGGCAATATAATCAAATATAACAAATCCTGTGTTGGATTTGTTGCCTTTTTGTCATCAAAAATTATCTAATCTTATACAGTCTTAAAAAATCTAACGTACATTTAAATATCTTATTTTTCAGAATATCTTTACTTTTTATATTATCCCACTATTTTCCTTAAACTTCGTTAATTCTTTTTCTTTCCATACTTTTCTCAAAATTTTTTCTTTTACTCCATCTA